GCTAGATGGGAGAGGGTTTTGCCATAGCAGTTAGGCGCATTCGTCCGGCTCTTCATTATTCTCGGTTAGCGGTCACGAGGACCGCGACAACAGAGACGCGACGGTTTCCCACCCGCAGTTGCGGATAAGAGTGAGGGGGCGGCGAAGACGTCGGCAGTCTGCGAGGCTCTGAAGAAGCCCGCCGCAGGCGCCGATTTTTTCGTTGAAGCAGTGTGGGTGGGTCGCGGGGTGGGTCCTGGGTGGACCGCGGATGGGTCCCGGGTGGGTCGCGGACGGGTCGCGGGGTGGGTCGCGGTTGGGTCGCGATGTAGGTCGCGGGAGGGTCGCGGGAGGGTCGCGGGTGGGTCGCGGGTGGGTCGCGGGCCGGGTCGCGGGTGGGTCGCGGGCCGGGTCGCGGGCCGGGTCGCGGGGGGACGACGACAACATCAACAACAACAATTCCACCAGCAGCAACAACAACACCACCAACACCAGCAACAACACCAACAACAACAACAACAATCCGCACCGCAGAACCTCACTTCAGCCACGCGCCCAGGGACAGTGAACGACCGTTCGGCCCCCTCACTCTGAATATGTGCGACGCTCGTATCAGGATTGGCTATGCGGGAGCCGCTCCACGGGACAGCTGGCATCATGCCGTCCATGATGCCTCAGGGCATGCGCAAGATGACGGGTGAGGGGCAGAGCAGCACCTGCACAGGAGGGAAGTGAGCAGGGAACATGGGACAGGGAGGAGGGATGGAAGGGGGTAAGGGTCGAGGGGCGGTGGCAGGAGTATCTGCGGAAGAGGAGCAGCATCATCAGCCGAAGAAGCATTGCAGTGGCAGCGGCAGCAGCAGGTCGCTTCCCCTCACCAGCCAGCGGCTGTGCCATAGGAGCCACAGCCCGCGCCGCTGCCAGACGCCCCGGCACTGAGCTCGTCGGTGGGCGTCCCGCGAATCTCCATTCCCTGCTAGCAGCTGCATGTGTTTCTCTTGTTATTAATGCTGCTGCTACTGTGGTCATTGTTGCGTCTGCTCTGACTGTTGGGATCCGGATAGCTGAGCATTCACTGTTAGTACCCCGTGCTGTGCTCACAATCCGTTTGCCGATTGAAGTGTGTCGCTCGATGCTCCCATCTTGGTTTCTCTCAACGCTATGCTCGAGCATCATGTTGAGTCGGTCGGCTCGGTCTACATCAACAGCGGCTCTCGCCTGAGACTCCCTGGGGAGTTACGATAAGATGCCTCCAGACTCTGGACTCCTGAGACTCTCTGGAGTCCAGAGGCTTCAGGACGCCTTACTTCATGCCTCACATCTAGATGGTGGCTTCCAACGATACTTTGATGCATTGGGCTTCGTGTGGGTCCGCCTTGCGCCCGAAAAAGTTTGGCGCATCGCTTCAGTCAACATATCGTCCTTTTCTTTTCTCCGCCTTTCCTTACCTCGCTTTCGCATCGTAGCAGCGTTGACAGCAGTATGGCATCTACCGTCCGCAGTCAGGTCATGCTGCGGAGTTCATAGCTCCCTGTTGTGGCCATGGAGCTTTCGTCTCTCCATGCGTGACATTGAGTTGCTAATACTTGCTCGGCACCTTACTTCAATCCGTATTCGATCCTGCCTTGCTTCATCTTGACCTGTTACGGACACATGGGTCAAAGAGGCAAGCATCAGCCAGTCCAGTGTGTTGATGGATGCGGATGATATGGAACAGTACGAGCGGAAGCTGCTCGCGATGCACAACGAGTCGGATTCCCTTATTCAATGGGTCCACGAAGTGCGTGGCACAATTGCAATGTGTTTCCGGGGTGCGGTATGCGCACTTCTCTAGGTTTTCAGAGTGATTGTTGTCAACAGTGGAGGTATCCAAACTGACAATCGCCATCCATCACCCATGACTCAAGGTGTTTTCTTCTGTCGTGCACTTCGGCAAAGCTGCACGTCACCTTAACTGTTTGCACACGGGCTTCTCTCTCGAGTGCGAGGTGTTGCACGAGCGGGTTCATCAGCAGCTTCAGCGAAGACTCCTTCGGATGTTCCGTTTGTTGTGCGAGTATTGGTTTCTCACGCGATGCTCGTGCCTGCTCGGTGGACTCTGGGTGCCTACAGATGCCGCTCAGGGCGAAAGCGTGAAGGCTGATGGCCAACGAAGGGGGATGCGCTCTTCGGATGTTGCCGCACGACGGCGCGCCACTTGCACACATCCGATGATGGCGGCAGTTCTTGGCATTATTCTGAAGGCCAGGTGGCGGGGCTTTGTGAAGTGCGCTTGCTAATGTGTGCCCAAGAAGGGCGAGCATGGAGCGCGCTGGGGAGGGTTCTTCCTTGCGTCTGCTCCAGAACATGTCAGAAATCCATGGCACCACTTGAACACTTCTGAAAATATGCACTCGATGCAAGCCCCCACTAACATTCAAAACACCTTCTTCTCGTCCTTTCTCCTTCTCCTCCCTCCCTGCCGGTCCTTCGCGGCGTCCAGGTCACCGCGCTGCCTGCCGCCATGTTCGCCGGCGGCCAGGAGACACCGACTGGAACGTTGAGCCACACCCCCAAGCGCCCTGCCTCGTTCGAGGCTCTGTTGTCATGTGGCCGCCGCAGGAAAGATGTCAGGATTTCCTCGTTACTCGCGTGAACCAGCCCAACTTCCCCGCCTCGGGCGCCCTCCTTCGTGAGGGGCGAGCCCCGACCAACGAAGCCAGATAGTTCCCCAACAACGTCCCGCTTTCTAGGATTCTTGTAGAGCAGACGAAGAATCCAGAACCTCTCCCAGGATGTCCCAATGGCTGCGTGAGCACTCCCGGCCCGTTGCCGTCATCTTCGTCTTATCGAGTAGGCGGTCTCTTGGATTCTTGGGCGGCCATGCCACGACATGTCCAAAGCCAGTCCAACACACTTGCTGTGCATTCTTCCTTGTTGAATCGATCTAGTACTTCAAGAATAGCAGGTGCTTGGCCGTCATACATGATACCAACATGTGCTCCCAAGTCAGGAGCTCCTCAGTTCCTGTAGCCACTTTCGCTTAAGCCATGTGGTTTCAAGCCAGTTTAGACCAAACGTGTTGTTAGATTTGTTTCCTGGAGAGCTCCACGTGCTTGCAGACCCCGCGCCGGCAGCTGCACCCATCTTGCGTGTTCCTTAGGCAAGGCATAATGTAAAACATCATGCGCCCATACGTACGTATGTGTGGACTTGTGTGGTATTGTAGTGGCCTCCGGCCAGTGCCGCCGATCCGGGGCGCTCCTGATGTTATCGAGAATGGGCGGTGAAGACAACGGACGACCAACGGTCGACGAGCGGTGTAATGATGACGACGACCGACGACCGGGGTAATGACGACGATTGACGACGACGATGACGACGACGGTGATAACGACGACAACGACGAACACGAACACGAACACGACGACGACGACGACGGAGACCACGACCACGACCACGACTCGTGTCCGAGCACTACCACGTCATACCATGAATCTCCGACATGGCAGCACGCGAGTGAGCGCCTCTTGGGGCCTCTGGGCTCTTGGGGGCTTCTGGGGGGCCTTCGGAGCCTTTCGGGGGCTTCTTGGGGTTCTCTTGGGGGCCTCTTGAAAATCTCTTGGGGGCCTCGGGGGGCCTCTTGGGGAGTTTCTCGGGGAGGAGGACTGGAAGGGTCAGTTCGGGTTCATCCTCTTAACGCCACTGGGGGGCCTCTCGAGGTTGTCTTGGAGGCTCCCTGGGCTATCGTGGTGCCGTGTTGGGCCGTGCTGGCTCCTCCTCGGGGCCTCTTGGGATGTCTTGCGACGATCTCGGGGGCCTCTTGGACCGCCATCGGCGCTTTGAAGACCGAAATGGCGTTAATCTCAAATGTAACAACAACCGAAAGGATTTTGACGATTTTGCCCGCCTGAGGCTTTCTTGGAGGTCCTCTTGGGGCACTATGAAGTCGCCTTGGAGGCCTCTTGGGCCGTCTTCAGGCCATCTTGGGCGTCCTGGAGCGCTCTTTGGCCGTTTTGTGGTCCTCCCAGACTGTCTTGGTGGCCTCCTGGATCTCTTTTGGCCCGTCTTGGGGCGGTTTGGGGTTCCCGGGGGTGGGGGGGAAGACGACGTGGACTCCATGACCTCCTCCTCCCCCCCCCCCATCCATCGGCAGAGCCATCCCAGCGCCCTCCCCAGCATAGCTGAAGCTGAGGCTGTATGTAGCTTCTTGGAAGTCACACGCCGGATCGGCATTTTTTGAGGAACAAATGAGAACAATATTTCTTATCATTATTATTAATATAGTAATAATAATACTAATAATAATACTAATAATAATAATAATAATAATAATGATATTAATAATAATAACAATAATAATAATATACTGATAATAATACTAATAATAATAATAATAATAATAATAATAATAATAATAATAATAATAATAACGAGATCGGTGTTTGGTCCTGAGTGTTTTTTGACGGTCCAGGGGCAGATTGGGCCCTCTGGGGCCGTCTTGGACGCGCCTTGGGCTGTCTTGGGGCCCTCTTGGGCTGTCATGGGGGCCTCTTGGTCATGTCTTGGGCCGTTTGGGGGCGGTCTTGGAGACCAGTAGGGCCGCCTTGGAGCGGCGGAACACCGGAAAGGAAAGAAAGCCGACACTTTTTAACCACCCAATGAAAATTGTTCACGTTTCGCGAATCCCCACCAGCCCTGACTTGCACGGCGTTCGGCTCCTCTTCGCGCGCCCGCGTACCAAAATAATCCCCACCAGCAGCCCCTCCTAACTCTAAAGCAAGCAGAGGGACGTAAGGAGCGGAAGCGAGCGTGTGCCCGCGGCCGCGCCGGCTCAAGCGGCCGGCCGCCCAAATATGATTGTGCCTCATCGCGAGGCACACAATTGCTATCGAGACCCAAAGGATCTTCTTATTGCTTAAGATGGCACATCCTCTCCTACTGGGACTATCGCTACTACGGTACAGCAGAGCTGGAACTTGGCTTCGCTTAAGGCGAAGCTGCTGGCTGGGCCTCCCAGCCCCCTTCAAACTTGGTAGCAGAGCTGGCCTATGGTGGTCAGCTCTTGCTCTACTCCTCACCATCTACGGCACTATCTGGTGGACTACGGACATGGTGGAACATCAAGGTGCAGTGGGTTTGCGCGGCGGAATGTATGTAGCTACGCATTATCGCAAGGACACTTGCGGCGATACCTCTGCTCATCCGACTACATCCGACCGCGACCTACGAGGTCACTGGATTTGTATTGCTATCCTTGGGCTCACATGGGTCGCTATCGGGTGTGCGGTAGGACATATGCGTGGCGGAGACGACACAAGAACGACCGGCCCACACTGGGACCCAGCCGGTCAAGTACCTTTTGGCGAATTCGTCCGCGAAGTACATGCCTGGATCAACGTGACCACAGGCACTATGACGCCCTCCCAGCAGGCTGCAGTTCTGCAGCGAGGTTTGGGAGGTCTCGCACGGACCATAGCCATGAGAGTTCTTCCAGCAGTTATTAGCTTTGGCGTCAACATAGGTGGTCGCCACACCGACGGCGTCACCTACATTATGTTCTTCTTAAGCACGAAGTTCGAGAATTTAGAAGAAAAGCGCCAACTCAACTCTGGCACCGCTCTCATTGACTTCCGAGTCCATGCGGGGGAACGCATCGATCAGACGTTAGCACGTTTTGAAATTGCCCGCTATGAAGCTGAAGTGGCCGGCCTCAGTATCCCCAACTCTCAAATTTTAGCAGCGATTTTCTTTAGAGCTCTTGGAGTGGGGACATCGCGTGCACAACGACTCCTGCAGCCTCTAAACCACCACATGCCGAGAGGCCAACAACAAATTGACGTTCTACTCGAACGCATGAGGTCATATGTTCATATTGCTGAGAGAACCCGGGCAATATTGGTGGTATTTTCAGTCGCGGTCACCGAGCCGAGACCTTTCACGTGGAGGCTAACGCAGGGCAGCCTGCTAACAACGTCTGGAATGATGATCCACAGCCAATTGAGACCGCTACACTGTTGGTTCAGAATGGTGGAGCGGCCTCGGGGTCGCAAGACTCCTGGGCCAGGCTTCGGGGGCCGCCTGACGCGGCGTCCCCCATGCAAGCCATGGCCCTAATGGGCTCAGCGGGGCAACCTGCCGAGTCCGACTTCGACTCCGGCACTGATGCCGATACGTCTTCGGACGATGAAGCCACAGCCTTCGATGACTTGGATATGCTTACATACCTCGCGGAAGAGCAACTTGCTTCGGAACCATTTGCCGATTCGGCGCTCAACAAATGATATCATAATGTCAGCAGGCCGTGACGGCATATTTTTCTCGACCCATATCGTTCAGCTCATAGGTCTTCTGCCCAGCGAATATTGCAGGTGCAATAGTGTGGGGCACATGGACCAATCCCTTGTATCTGCGGGATAACAATCAGCCGTATCCAATTGGTAATATTTCTATCGAAGGAATGCACGACTATCGAAATGACGCATCAACTTCGAAAGATTGGTTCATCCCAAAGACCCCCATACATATTGAAGTGTCCAGAACCGGCACCCATCCAGGAAGTCGAGTTCTCAACCGCGAAATTGATGCAGGACATGTATCAAGCGGGGGCACCTGCAGGGAGATCTGATGGATCTTGGATGCAGGCCTAAGTGCGGACGTGACAGGTATTACTTCAAATGGCATCACCCCCGCCGACATGCTATGCGCCTACGATCCGTGGCGTGCTCTTGTGCAACAGCTGCCAGTACCTGCAGGGCAACCTGCGTCATTTGCACCGATGACCAGAACCTCAACCATTTGGTACTCCACAGAGTGCTGGGAGCACCAATAGCCTACAGGCGAGGCTCCAAAGCATTCGGATGGACCCGCAGCTGTACCAGGCTTTACAGGCGACATCGCAATTTGCATCGCCGCGTCCACATGCGGGGCAACCTGCTTTTCCTGATCGCCATGCTACACAGAGGACCGAGAGTTTGGCTTGTCAGCAAGACTGGCTGCATCGGCAGATGCGTGAAGCCGCGCAGAGCACGCGTAGGGGCGGCATCGACCTCCCAGACGCCAACTGGACGTCGCCTCGGGAGCATGTTCCAGATCCAAATCCATCACCGGACAACCCCAATCGGTTTGGTTACGTGCCAGCATATTTCTGTCATCTGACATGCGATCCGACAGCTGCAGAACGCCCCGCAGCAGCGCCAGTGGGACGCAGCCGGAAAATCCGTATGTACGGGCGACGGCCGACGACTTCTACCCGTCTCAGTTGACGCGCGGCTCGGGTTGCACGTCAGGTATGCCAGGTTAGATTCCTCACTGTGGATATTCGGCCGCCCCTATGGACCCTGATGTGCAGCAACAGGCCCCAGGCCTAGTAGCGCCATCATCCATGGGGGAGCTGCGCCCAGAGATCCTGGCCACCCACGAGGCGCAGCAGGCCAACATGGCGATGCAATCTGCCCGCCAGCGTCGCAACCAGGAGCGTCAGGCCGACGGGGTGCTGAGACGTGCGGGGCAACCTGCTAGCTACCGACGGTTCCACCAATT